CATGAAAAATAATTGAAGAACTCATAATTGAAAGGATTTTCTTGTAACTATATATTCAAGGATAGTAAATAATCCATATGCATACTAGTTCTATCTATAGGTAATTAAGTAGGTTTTACACAAATGAAAGTGGACGAATAACATAAGGTTGTTGTTCTGAAGAGATTACAAAATTTGTATCACAAATTAAACTTTCTCATGTATTTTGGTTTCTATTCAGGTTTGACGAAAAAATGCAATGAGTTCTAGTGTTATGCTTTCTATTTTGCTTTTTATTCTTGGATCTTTCTCAAAAGTATATATATATAGCAAAAAAAAAAAAAAGAGAGAGAGAATACAATGATCCCAATTACTAAGCAAGGAAAGGCATTCTTGTGAATAATGACTACTTGTGATTTGAGATTGTTTAATTTGGAATTTATTTTTAGTATGTTTTTCGAGTAGATATTGGTTTATAAAATGTATCAATACACCAATAAAATTTCGTTATCCAGCAAAACATACCCGGTTTTATCCAAAATTAGGCATCCCGATTCCTTCCACAATAGTCCCTTCATTTTGTAAATCAATTCGTACTGGACTATTTTAGCACTTTATGCAGTAAAACTTTTCTTTTTATAAGGAAACGAAAATTAGATCATCAAGTAACAAAGTGACTCAAAACACTAATGCGAAACCTCTATATTTTATTTAGTGACAGGATTAATTCATAAAAATAAATAAAATTTTTTTACAAATGTTACTAATCGGATTTCTTTACCTCGATCATAGAATTGGTTGCATTTGGATTTAACTTATTACTCCATGGTCAATTATGTGCCATGTGATCTGATCTGTGAAAAGCACATATCATATGCACTGCAAATCGTAGCAAGCGTATTGTTTTTCGAATGCCTAGCCTAACAAATGAACAATGTGGTGCTTGTGAATTGCCAAGAACTTTTAGGTATTTGTATCCAAATTGATAAATCTATGCATAGGGTTGTAAATGAGTCTAATTAAGTCAAACGCTTAATTATTATTTGCTGAATCAACCTTAAACGAATTTTTATCGAGATGAACTCCAGTTGAGTTCGAGTAATTTGAAATTTTTACATATAAAATCGAATTTTATACTAATCAGACTAAACTCAACCGAGTTTGTCGAATATAAAATGTTGTTTGAACTTGGTTTGACTAGTTGGCGAACCAAATTCGAATAAGCTCTTACCAATTCCAGTTCGATTCGAATATCGAGTAATTTTGTCCATCTTTCAACCCTCTCTATACATGCATTAAAAAGAATTTGATTCAATTAATCAAATCGATATCGGATAATAGATTCCATACAACCAAAATAAGAAAATTAAACTCCCTGTCGTCTCATGATCAGTCTAACTGTTAATTGACCAATGACACCAAGTGTAATCTCTCACTAACATACTGCAGATTACGTACGAAAATACATTAATTCTTGTGTTGTCGGTCGTTGTTTTATGTGTAAAGTTGCAGAGCCCCCTCACGTGCCTTCTTACAATGTTCAAATATTATGGGTTTCATCTATGTTTATGGGTTTTTTCACCTTGAAATTCGTCACCTGACTTTTTGGTCTCCATTAACTGCCGTCTAAAGTACCGACGATAGATACATTATAGTAACATGTAAGATCATGTCTCATCAAAGTGCCTAAGAATTTTGTTGATGATTTTCATAATGCTGGAAAAGTTGTAGGGCACTTTTAAGTTTGTTAGCAGGGTATGAATGTAAGGTAGGGCGGGGCCTGTTTCGCAAACAAGTTCTTGGCCAAATTTGTCATCTACAAGTTTTTTAACAACTTTATCTACAATAATTTTAAAAAATTTCTCAAAAATTTTAAGCTATACACTTCAAAATACCCAAAAATTTATACACTTTAAAAATTTTTCCTACAACTTCTATAATAAGCTACATTCTAGTTTTAGACAAACAACAAAAAAATTCATTTGCCAAACGAGGCCGTAGTCTACTCTACTCCATTGAAGTTTCATATGTTTGCGGCATTAATCCAAGACAAAGGACAAAGGATAAAACTTAATTGATACATTGACAGTATATACACAAACAGATAAAAGTCCTCAGTTGGGAATTTGGAATTGGCAATTTATATTCTTTAATTTTCTGGTTTGTGATGGTCGATGTATAATTGAAATAAAGTTTAAGGACTGTTTTAGTTTTACCATAATAGTCGAGGGACTATATTGGCCAATTTCTCAATTATATCCCTTGATAAAAAAAGTTGATCAGGAAGGTAGATGCAAAATGAGGTTTACAACGGACATAAGCCAATTCCGAGTAGATTCCATTGAAGCTTGAATGTATATATATGTATTAGGACTTACCATGTGCAAACCAAATCTTGAATAATTGCTCTTGAAATTAATCTTCTTAGTGAACATGCTAGAGAACAAATTAGGTCAGCTTAGCATAACAAAATTCTTCAAAATCAGGGATACATATTCACTTTACATTTGACAAAATTGTGATAAAACTTGTAAACAATTAACGTCACTAAAACATCTATCTAAGATACTCCCTCCGTCCCACTTTGATAGTCCTGTTTCTTTTTTCACGCAGTTTAAGAAAAAGTAGTTAACTTTGTTGGAAAAGTAAATTTAGATTGCTATTTTCCTAAAATACCCTCACATTAAATATGGTGCAACTTTATGGGAACTTGAATTGATAGTAAAAAAAGAATCAACTCTCATTAAATGGGGGTAGGTTTATAGTAACAACTACTTACATTGAATAAGGGTATTTTAGAAAAATTAAAATACAACTACATTTTTCAATTGGAAAGTGGACTACAATTTGGGACAGATGAAAAAGAAATACAGGACTATCAAAGTAGGACGGAGGGAGTACTAAGAATCCCTAACTTGATTCTGTTGGCGATGGATCATCAATCATCAAGCTCATTAATTATAAGGAACATCTTCTTCTATCTACCTTGAGCCCGATAATTGAAAACATTCACTTGGCTTTATTAGACTAATATTGTCAATATACTTTGGATTTTAAAAGAGACTGATAAGGAGGTTGCTCATTATTTAACTCATCATGCAAAAACTGTCAATTTTTTCCAATCGATGTCAAATTTCTCTCTAAATTTTGTCAAACAAGTCGCCTTGAATGATTTCTAACAATCTCATTAATAAATTACTTTGTTTTATTAAAAAAAATCACTAAAACATAACTTTTAACAATTGAAAGTATCATTTATGCCCTGTACTTAGCTTGCTAGCTACCTCAACTTCTTTTTTTTTTTTTTTTTGTCACAACGGTTGAAATCGTATACTTTAATCTAGTATAATCTAGGGAGAAGGGGAGGGAAACTCGATGTGAATAAAGACTCCATTAAACAAAGTCAATTAAGATTACCACACAAGTGACAATTGGTTCCTTGACCTCTCACCTCCACCAAGACGGTCTTGATGGTGACCACGAGGCCAAAGGTATGGTGGCTGCTAGCTACCTCAACTTCAAATCCCAAGTTCCCAAATCCCAACTGGAATTCCACCCCACTTCCAGGGCCATCTCATCCACCTCGACTTGTATATATAACCATGCATACATTCACACTTCATACTACCCCAAAAGTTCCCATCTCCTCAGTTCCCACTCAACTCATAAAACCCACTAGGCCATTACACTCTCCATTATTACACGCACAACACACAGTCTCACAGACCCTCACAAGTCCCAATATCACTGCAAAACAACACACAGTCACACACTGCATTTCGGCTTTTCTTCAGACCATACAAAGAAGAGCTCAAAACAACAACTGAAAGCAAACATGGGGAGAATGAAAGTTTCCTTGGCCGCCTTAGTAACATTGGCTTTTTGTTTTTCCGTTAATGCCTGCCCGCCTGGGGATCGGGCAGCATTATTAGCTTTTAAAGCTGCCCTCAACGAGCCTTACTTGGGCATCTTCAATTCTTGGACGGGCACCGACTGCTGCACCAACTGGTACGGTGTCAGCTGTGACCCTGACCGACGGGTCGCCGACATTGTCCTCCGGGGAGAATCCGAGGACCCCATCTTTGAGAAAGCCGGCCGGTCTGGTTACATGTCAGGTGAAATAGCAGCTTCTGTTTGTCAACTCGACCGGCTCACCACCCTCGTCGTCGCAGACTGGAAGGCAATCGCGGGGGAAATCCCGGCTTGCATTCCGTCCTCGTTACCCATTCTAAGAATCTTCGACATAGTCGGAAACCAGATCTCCGGCAAGATTCCGGCCGACATAGGCTCACTGGGTCGACTAACTGTTCTCAACCTCGCCGACAACAAGCTCACCGGTGCGATTCCGCCGTCGATTGTCAACCTCAGGAGCGTCATGCATCTCGACCTCAGCAACAACAAACTCACAGGAGAAATCCCCTCCGACGTCGAAAAACTAACCATGATGAGCAGGGCACTGTTGAGCCGTAACCAGCTCACCGGTTCAATCCCCAGCTCATTTGCTAACATTTACAGGCTGGCCGACATTGATCTATCCATGAACCGGATCTCCGGTTCGATCCCGGCTCAACTCGGAACAATGCCGGTTCTGTCAACCCTTAATCTAGACAGCAATCGACTATCCGGAAGCATACCGACGAGCTTATTAAGCAGTGCCGGGTTAAACGTTTTAAACATCAGCCGAAACAGTTTGGAGGGCAATTTACCCGACGTTTTTGGACCGAAAACTTATTTTACGGTCCTTGATTTATCGTATAACCAATTGCGCGGTTCAATTCCTAAATCACTATCATCGGCTAAGTACATTGGGCACTTGGATTTGAGTTATAATCACCTTTGCGGACCGATTCCGGTTGGCTCACCTTTTGATCACCTTGAGGCCTCTTCATTTGCTAATAACGATTGCTTATGTGGATCACCACTACGTACTTGTTAATTGAATCTAAATCATGGGGATTAGTAGTAAGTTGTAATTAACCGAAAATGTCGGTTGGCTATTACTGCAGCATGCTTGTGTGATATTTTTTTTTTTTTAAAGTATGTAATCTCAATTGTGCATTGTTTATAAGAGTGCATCGGTTGCATGCAAGTGTAAAATGCGTGCGAACTTCTGTACGAGAATCAATATAAAATACACTAAACTCCCTTGTGGTTTAGGTTATTATCATAAAACTTCCTCATTGTTTAAAAACCTCCAAAGTACCCCATCATAGTTTGGACTAATTTGTGGTTTAGGTTATTATCATAAAACTTCCTCATTGTTTAAAAACCCCCAAAGTACCCCATCATAGTTTGGACTAATTTGGGCATTGAACGGAAATCGTCTAATTTGACGGAAAATATGAAATTCCTATATTAACCTTGTTTCAAAACTTATCATCTTCTCCAAATCTCCATTTTTTCCTTCGACAACAGTAGAACAGCTACCAATTACCACAGCCACCATTCAACTGAAAACAAATTCTCCTTCAACTCGGCCTCCGTCACCGCATCCACCTCAATCGAGCCCATGTCCGCTGGCATCACAGCCGATAACAGCCCTCCCAAACCATTATCCGAACCTAGAGTCGCAGCTACAGCAGAAGCAGAAGCTGAAGCTGAAGTTGCCTCCATTGAGTCCATTTCCAAGTTCCGAATTGCACTAGTCCAGCCCCGGGAAATTAGCCTGACCCGATCCAATTGCTAACAGAAACCTTAACTATTCCGCAAAAGAGCTCAAAAAAAGAAGGAAACGGTTTTGCAAGAAATACTTTAAAAAAAAGAGGACTTTTTTTTCCAGTGCTACGTAGAAAGAAAGTACAAATTTAGAAGCAGAAAAAGTACTCAAAAAGCTTTCCAATGGCAGAGAGAATTTTGGAAGAAAAAGCAGAGAAACTTTCCTGGCTTCCTTTTCTCCCTCTACCATCTGTACGTTTTTTTTTTTTTTTGTTTGCTGGTTTTGTGAAAAATGGATTCTTGTTTCTTGTTCTCTCACCCAGAAAGATTGCAAAATGCCAACAGCGCAAAAGAGTCTTTTGATGCTTTTGCCAGATCCTTTAAACTATCCATTGAAACTTTGAGGCGGTCGCAGTTAGTGGATCTCTATGGCTGAAATCACTTTCCATTCTTTTCATTCCATTCCGTTGAGCTCCCTTGAATCACAATCCATCTGTATTTGTTCCAAGCCCGCCACCGCCTTCAATGCCATATTACTCTCTGCTCAGCCCACCAATTGATTACATCCCAAAGCCACCTGGTAGAGCCGGAGGAGGAGGATTTGTCCCGCACAGCAGCCCCCGAGTTTACAACTAAATTCATCTGCTACAGTGATGGAAGTGTACAAATCAATCTATCAATGGTAATTTTTGCTGCTTCAATTGCCATGGTCACCACCGTCATCGTCATCTTCAACATCATTGGGTCTTAGATTTCATCTAAATTCATGTAATTTCTACTCCAGATCGTTCAGGAGAAAAAAGAAAAAGGAAGAACAAGGAAAAAAAGAAAAGAAAAGAAAACGTAAAATTATCACATTACCCTTGATGTATTGTTATCACACTCACTTGTCAAGCGTGTGTAATTCACTTCCCGTCAAATTAGACGATTTCCGTTCATTGCCCAAATTAATCCAAACTATGAGGGGGTACTTTGGGGGTTTTTAAATAATGAGGAGGCTTTATGATAATAACCCAAACCACAAGGGAGTTTAGTGTATTTTACCCTATCTATCTATTGTTTTTGCATGTGTTTTTGTATAGTGATACTAGCTGGCTTTACTGGCACTTTCGTCCACGAAATTATATGTGATTGAATCATGAGTTTATGATAAAGGTTATGGAGCGTTCGTGATTTTGATGGCATAGTTCTTTGGTCACAATGGGAATCATTGCGGTGGTGAATTGGTGTTGATGAAAGCGTTGACAAATATGTGGATAAAGTGATCACGCCAGCGTTATTTGTAGGTCAATGGGAGAGGTGGAGATTGATTTGCCTGCTCCATTATTATTATAATATTATTTTTTGAAGCAGCCTTTGGAGGGGGTGAAAAACTTTGGCTAAAGAAGAAAGGGAAAAATCCTTGGCTACAGAAGCTCTTTTTTCATTCGGCAAAATATGGTCACATTAATTATTTTCCTTCTGAAAAAAAAAAAAGAAAAGAATTGCAGCATTTGAGAGTTAGATAACGCAGCTGTCCTGTAGAAAGTTTAGGATCTGTTGCATAAATATTAGTAGTATTAATTTGGTTGGTGAAACATGCATGAGAGATTCAATGCGCAGAGCATTAAAAAATATGATGGTACAACAAATTTTGGGGGAAGCAGCAAACAGAGGTCAAGTTCTTGCCAGCGCAATGCATGTTCCTAATTTCCAATCCCATGTGACCTGCCCATACATCAACTGTTTTTATATATCCTTCATGGTCCCACTACATTTTGTTTCTTTCCAAATAGGACAAAAGTAAAACAGGTCGGTAAACTTTAGCTCAGCTATACAGTGATAGACTGATAGTGAAAACCCAGTGGATGCCTTCATGATTCAAGCAATGCAAAAGGGGATCCGTTTCCAACATTTCTAGTGACAATTCCAGACCAAAATAGCCAATTTGAATGTTGTGCAATAAAAAGTGAAATTTGAGAGAATCTGGGAGGGCCTTACTTTAGACTGTGGTTGTTAGCAGAAAAAAAAAATTTTTTTTGAGCACCATTGGATTTCTTATAGTTGTCAATAGGGCACCTCACATAAATCATTACTCCAGAAACACGCAAGTGGGTTGAGTTCCCTACTCCCATCACTCTCGTTAATCCCAGGGAGAATGCAAAGACAAGATTATGAATGTATATTATGATTCTCATTGTTAAGTATCATCTACGATACAGTTTAGCCTATTCATTCGTATTTTGCGGACTCAAAGGATTTGTTTACTGTTCAAGGTTTCAGGGTAAACTTCAGCTGTTTCAAATAATTGTAATCACTCCAAGGAGGATCAGGAGAAAAGAAGCAAAATTAATTTGAGGCAAATATAGAAAGGATTATCTCTAATGTATAGATCAATGAAAGATTTTGTCAACATTCTTAGTCATCCACTTAAAATACTAAAATAGGGGCGACCTTTTCACTATCCTGGACTTTTCATGCATTCTAAAATTCGGTTTTTTACCTCAAGAACCCTGTGTCAGATCAGTTGGCCCTAACAAGGAGTGTTTTCAGTTATCTAGCCCTCATACTGACTATCACTGGGGAGGAGCACACTGCTTCACAGAGAATTCTTTACATGATAAGGATATTAGAAGGAAATAGCAGGGCCGTTTTAAGGTACAATATTTTTGCAAGCACCGAGTTCACGAGTTCCCAGTTGCCATCTTTGTTGTGTCAGCTCAGCTTATTGACTTGGAGCGTCTAGAATTTGATGCTATTAAAAGTCGATGCATGAACAACTGTTGCACTTTGGACAATACAGATGTTATTTATTGAAGATTATATGTTTAAATTTCTGTATCTGTTCTCAATTGACCCAAAGCTTAATCATGAAAAGAGGATATGTTGTGCCTTCAACTAGCCCTTCCAATTTTCAGACAAGTTATCAATAAGAGTGAAACCAAAGTGTGATTTTTTCATGACCAGTTTGAAATGCACATCAGCACATCAAACTCACATCTCTGACTCAAACCCTATGTTCCAGAATCCTTCAGGAGTCAGAGGAGGAGCATACCTGTAACGATGTCTTGAAACTCCATCATGATGCTCACACCGCATGTTTTGTCCATTGCCATTCCCCTCCTTACATTCATTGGGAAGAACAGCATCATAGAACTTTTTGCATTGCTTGCATTCAATTCCTTTCAGGTTTTCCCTCACAGTTTTCTTTCTTACTGGTTCCACAAACTTGAAATTTGATGTTCCAGGCCTCCGAGGTGAGGTTTGACACTTTTCACGGTCAACATTCATGTCTTCTGTCTCGTCATCAGAGCTGTTGAATTCTATGTCTTTTTGAGCTGGTTGTGGAGGATTACAAATTTGATCCTTAATGGCATTGCCTAAGTCTCCTCTAATTTTCTCCAAGGGGGTATCAAGAAAATCATCATGGAGATCAGGTCCAAGTTTACTCTGGTTAGACCTCGTATTTCTCCAATAAGACACAGGACGTTTTGTTCCAGCTGGTGGGCAAGATTTTACACTGGCAAAGGTTTTTGGTTGGATAGAAGTTCTTGACCTAGAAGGGGAGACAGAGTTTGATCTTTGATTTAACTGGACTTCCTTGTCATTCTTCAACTCTTCTCCCTCACCTTTCCTTCTTTCTGCTTCACCACTAACACCAGAGGCATTTGGACCTTTGTTGACATCTATATTGCCAGATACCAAGAGTTAAATGAGGATAAGTGCATACTAATTCCCAAAAGGGGCCAGGAGGGGGAGGGGAGGATGTAAAAACAAGAAAACTAAGCATATCACAGTCATTAACTGTTTGTAGAGTCATCTGGATGATGTTCTGTGGCACAATCATCATAAAACAATGGAACATTTAGAAGATTTCAGCACTAGGGATAGAGAAGAAAGGACTTACCAACCGAAGTTAATGGGCTATGATTCAGCCCCAAGGTGTCACTCTGATCTTCCATTCTATTTTGGGGCAGCGCATTTTCTGTAGTAAGACCATACTTTGAACACAAAAAGTTGTACTGAGATTTGAGATTCTTATAAGCAACAATGACTTCCTTTCGTTTCTGCTTTTCAGACATTAACTGGGAGTCTTTTGCTTCAATCTGCTGAAGTAACTTCCCGTGTAATTCCATTTCTTCTGAGGACCCCTGGCTTCCCTCTTGCAGATTGGGTTGATGCATATCAACCTTCTCTTCTGGGCCTCTTCCTAGTTTCTCCAGAAGCTGTCGCTTCTCCTTCACAAGCTCTTCAAAATCCTTCTGTATTTTCAACTTTTCAAAATTGTATGAATCAATCTGCTGCATCAGCTGTTCTTGCAAAATTCTTCCTTCTTCCACTTCATCATTTTTCTTTCCTATCTCCTTCTCTAGAAAATTTATATCATTCTGTAAATTTACTAGTCTTGTGGCGAGTAGCCTTTTCTCCTTCTCATATTCGTTCAATTGCTGCTCATGCTCCATTATTTCCGAGGCCTGTGATTCGACCTTTTTCAGGAGATTCTCCCGCACTTTTCTTCCCTTTTCAATTTCCTCATTCTTTTTTCTCAGTTCCTCCTGAAGCTCGTCAATCTTCCCATTCATAATCCCAAATCTTCTAATAATTAAATCTGCATCTCCTTGGTGATCTGTCAACTGTTCCTCTTCTTTATCCATCATTAGGGAAGTATTTGATCGAACCATTTGGAGAAGTGTAAGCTGTAATCCCATTGCAGCATCAAATTCCCTAGTCTTGTTTGCTAGCTCTGATTTCAATCCCTTGACTTCCCTCTCCAGATATGTGTGCTCTGTAAATAGCTTCCAATGTTTGTCATCAAGTTCTTTCAGCTCCTTGTCTCTGTCTTCCACCAGCTTCTCTGCGACATTATACATATCATGCCACTGTTTCACTTCTACCTGCAATGCGCCTACTTCTTTAGTCTTCTGTTGCAGGTCTTCTTGGAGACTGCGAATACTATCTGGAGACAAGCCAATACTAGCAAATTCTTCCCTCTCCAACTTCAGAGAGCTGATTTCAGCACAAAACTGTTGCTTTTCGAGCTGAAGCTTTCCAATTTGAAGTAGCAGATCTTTTTCTCTCTCTTTGCAAGCATTTTCCGCAGATTCTCTGGCTTCAGAATACAACCTCTGAAGGGTCTTAGATTTTGCCTGAAAATGCGGATAAATTTGACTGCAAAATACATATTCAATCTGGGAAATCCTATCTTTAGCTTCCTGAATTGTGGCAACCAGAATAGTACTGAGCCCTGATATATACTTGAACTCCATGCTGTCATCAGTAGACCCTAATTGTGGTGACTTCTGCAAATTCCCATCCATCTACCAAATCTAAAAGAATCTAACCAAATTTAGCAGCTGATAATTATTCCAAATAAACATTACTCTAAAAAGAATTAGTTCCTGGAAGTAATTATTAGCATGAATATCCAGCAGATTCCTATCATAAAACTCATAGAGCTAACCAGTAACATAATTCTCTGCAAAATTTCGGCAACTGTACTCTTACTTAAAATCCACTACGAATAAAATGATTAGCGAACAAAAACATCCCAAATTAATCCGTAAGTACAACAAAACCTTGATTTATTCAACTTCTTCTGCACAACAAAACCCAATCTTCAGGAACAACAAGACCTTGATTTAATTAACTCGTGAATTTAATTTACAGTTTCAGTTCAAATTGAACAAGCAGGGATAAGTGGAATCTATGCACAAATTATGCACCAAAACTGCAGAGAAATCAATCCATTTCACCTCGACACAGTTTTTCTGAATCAAAAAATTGCTTCAATTTACTAATTAAGAACTAAATCTGATTCCAAATGTACAGAAAAACGCATTTAAATATCAACGATGAACCGAATGCAAAACTGAATTTCTACTAGTGTGTGTTGTGTGTGTGTGCTCGTGAGTGTGAGAGACAGAGAGAAGGAGAGAACTGAAACCTTGAGCCCGAGGAAGAAGCACGTACGACGTCGTTTTTTAGCTTATGAAAGAGAGTGAAAGGAAGAGTACAGGAGAAGCTTGTTTGGAGTAGGTATACACTCCTCCGAAAGCAAGAAGAGTGTCAGAGAAGATTTGAGGCAAAAGCGCGCCAAAGATAAATAGTCAACGCGGGACGAATTATTTTCAAAATTATTCTTTTTTTTTTTTTTGGTTTTCACGAGATTAGCTAGTGGGCTTGGGACTTGAATAGCGCAAGTTTGCATGACTTATCCAGTAAGTTTGGTTGGGCCCATGGACAAAAATGTGTTTTAATATATGTTGGTTATTGAATGCCTTCATAATTATTTTGCAGTTTGTGCTTGTTCAATGAGGATAGGATATGGAATATATTTACACTAGTGGAAAGAAACGTTACAAATAACAATTATAAATTTAAGAATGCGTTTGGATTGCAAGTTTTTCAAAAAAAAAAAATTGGAATATTTCCTCTAAGACATTTTTTTAATTATTATTTTACTTCACGTACATCATAGGGCTATAATATATATATATATATATATATATATATATATATATATATATATATATATATACTTTCAGAAACTCCAATCTAAATGGGCTTGAAGTATTTTTGTAAGTTCGGGCACAGGTGCCTTATGGTAATTAAAACTTTTTGTTATTCTTATTTTTTAAGGTCATTAAAAGTTGCTAATATAATACCTTTTTTCTTCTTAATTTGTTGTTTCATTTTATGATTTACTATTTTTTAGTACAAGCAGGAGGGTTCGAATCTGAAACCTTTTAATCACATTCCCTCCCCTCCAACCATCTAACCCAGCCTCCCACCCTCCCCCAATTTTATGTTATACTTTATCTCTACGTAAGTTGATAAGTTAAAGCTATACTTTTTTTTTCTTATAGGAGTTGTTGTAATTACATTAACCATACATTCAGCTTTCATGCATAAATTGGATTTTCACTATCAGCATATTGGCCATTAGAAGAGAGAGACCATGAAAATAATTTAAGGCACTCACTATTTTCAAGCGGAGAAAACTGATCCGTAAAAGTCTTATTAGCAAACTTAAGAAAGAGGAAATAGGAAAGAGGAAATCAACTCCTCAAGATTAAATTTAGCCCCCTAAACTATCAATTACAGGGTTTTAAATGCTGTCACAATAGTGCAATAGCCATAATTTGGCGAGCCTTTTATGTGAAGTTAAATTGATCCTTTTGCATCAATCTTTTTTTTTTTTCTGCAAACGATAGATGTTTGTATTGATATATGTCTAAACATTACAGTATTCGAGCAACGGTTCAATCAACTTTACAAAAATGTAATTCAACACTTAAAGAGTGACAAAAATTCTTTCCTAAACTTTTGCATCAATCACCCAACCATCAATTGTATAAGAAGACAGTGTCCCAAATTTGATACTTATTTGGGTTTTTAGTTAAGGGGAAAAAAAAAATAGATCACTGGTTTGGCAGTTGGCACTTAGGGATTATTCTAAAATGGGCAATTTGTAAACTTACAACAGAGGAAAATTGTTTGTTGTCATTTGAGTCTTAATAGGCCAGCCAAAATTTATCCGTTATAACATCAAATAACTACCTAGTTTGCAAGAAACTAAAAAGTGCTAGTTTTTGCAACTGACAGTTTAGGAGGCGAAATACAATGACCAAAAATTTAGGTGGATTATTGAAATTAACCTGGGAAAAAAAAAATCAATGTTGTCATTAAGCATTGATCTCTTGTTCCATAATGGCATAATGCATGTAAACTTTACATTTGCTTATATTAGGAAATCAGAACAGTAAAAGGCATGTCATATGCACTCTGATTAGCCTATCAATTGAATAGATCATACCAAGTTTCTTGAAAAACATTTACTATATATTCATCAGGCTAGGTACGATCACCAGCAGAAAATTTAGACCCAAAAGAGGGAAATAAAGAAAGAAGAATAACCAGCAGAATACTACTCAGATTCAGCACATTTATATGCTCAGACAACCTAGTCTTGAACAGTCATCGGTTTACTAACTTGCTGAATCCTTGTTTGCCTCATTATTTTGACGGTTCATTCAACAAAATTAACCACTCATATTTGCTGTATTTGTCCTTTCTCCCCACAATCTGAACTATCCATTTAGGAAGACTTTAAAGTTGGTGTCATTCAATTGGAATACAAGGGATCCAGCAAGGGATGATCCAGATGAGTCTGCAGATGTCACTGAACAGCAAAATTTGTGAAGATAGGCAAGCATGAACGATTCCTAAATCCAGAACATATACATCCGCTTTACTGATCAATTGAAGAAGCTGAATCTCTGACCCGCTTTAACTTTCTTATATACATCCATTGCTTGCTTCACCATTTCATCTTGGGCAAGAATTTTAGCTCTTCTTTCACAAGATGGATGAGTTGAGAATGCATGTTCATCTGGACCATACAGGCTATGCCACCATCTTACTATTGGAGCATATAGAGGGTCGTAGCCAGCTGCAGCCATTAGCATCATTCCAATATGATCTGCTTCGAGCTCATCCCTTTGAAAGAAGAAAGACAACCGAAAATTGTTTGAAAAAAATATTAGGAAAACAAAGACAGCAGTCCTCATTTATGGTTGCTATGGAGTCGATGAGGCATAAAAGTGCAGAATCAAGGAAGAAAAGGGAAAAAATGACAAAGTTCACTGATCAGAACCATGAGGGCATTGCAACACTGATGCGATATAGCAATAACCTCTCTCACTGGAATATAGCAGAGTGTTTGCAAGAACGACTTACCTCCTTGAGAGGAAAGAGTAAATCAAAGCCCACAACAATCCAATTGGTAGGATACCAACATGACGGAGAAAAGGCGAAACTAGAAGGACATAAAGCCATAAGCCCCTCATGAAAAGTTCTGCTTTATGGTGTGCCAATCCGTGTCCTACCTGTTATAATCGGAAAAGCAATATATATCACCGCAAATTCTTTGTTTTGCTTGTTTCACCATAATAAAAATGGAAAATAGTTCCAACTGAATAACAAGGGTACACGACCAAATTATTGGGCATAACTAAATAGGATACCATCCTATCAGCAAGTCAATTTGTAAGCAAGAGAGACAATCAACTTGTATATGAGTATAACATCTAGAGAGAGTGGTAAATCAAAAAGTATTCAACGCAAACAGCCATTCCGCACCTCATGCGACAGGCTAGTTGCTATAACAGCATCAATAAACGCATCAAAGGAGTCTGCATCTTTGATCATCCTTCTACCTTCTTCGCTCCCTGCCAATGTTAGCACCCCAGTGTAAAATACAATCTTTCCATCAGAAAGATACTCGGCATTATGAAAATCAGAATCAACCAGCATCACTTCCCAATTCATTCCTTCCACATGCTTAGTACCATATCTTATCCCAAATCTTCCATCCCTTCTTTGTGGGCTGATCTCCTTCTGACCATCATCAGATTGAACAGCCATGCTAAAATGATCACAATCAATTTTCTCAGGAGAGTAAATAGAAGCATGGTAGTCATGTTGGAGCCCCAAACCATCATACATTCCTTCAAGTATCTTTCCTAAAATCTTCCCCACTCGAACACCTTCTGGGCTTGTTGGGGAGAGTATTGTTCCCCTGTATTCCCTTTGATAGTTCTCCCATTTTACCCTGTCGAAGAACTTTGACAGTAAGTCAGTACTTAGCACCAGATGAACTCTATCAGAACAAGGAACCACCTGCAAACTACCAAAGATCATAACAAAGACCACACATTTACCCACAGATCTCATACGAATCCTAAGCCATTCCCGAAAGGGAGAAGAGGGTTCTTCATCATTACTAGCTTGGGAAGAGTAACACATTCTTCTTCTTCCATTACTTCCAAGTAGTACTAAAGTTGTATTATTGCCAGTCCTAAATGATTTCTTAACATTTTTCAAGCCAAGCCCAGATAAAGATGTAAACCTTGAATATTTTCTTACAGGCATTATGATGGACTTCTCTATTTGAAGTCTTTGCTGTTGCTGATGACGCAGAAACCTGAACTCGGTAAAGAAAGCTGCATTTTGGTTGAAAGTTGGAAGCTTTTTCTGGGTTGTGCTGAGGAAATTTGGGAGCTTTGATCTGAAATGCGAGAAACCCATTCTGCTACAAACAACTATAATTTTCAGGAAGGAATAGCAAGGCCTCAGGTCTGAGCTACATTTCTTTTGTATCAGGGTTTAATGCGCAGAGGATAAAAGGGTTTTAGAGTTGCCTACATCTAGCTCAACAAGAAGGGAAAAAACACAAAGGACTTTTACATAGTTGTCTGCCAATAAACTACACGAGAATGGTTCCAAGAAAGAAGGGTTCGTATGATCGTATCAATCGCGTTTGCAGTTCGCATCCGTTTACCCGAAAATGTTATTTGCATTCCCATTTTTTTTTATTTACACTTTCACTGTCATTTCTATAACATAATTTTTATTTATTAAATCATATGATAAGATAAAATAAACGATTAAGGTGCAAATAACCAAAAATAGAGTGTAAATAACGTTTCATTGCAGGAAAATGTAAAACGGGTGATGTATTAATGTTGTTTATGTTAGGCAGTTCATATTGCTCGACGTAATCCACATAGGAGGTGGTGCATGTTGATGCTATTGAGACTATTGATATACTACTATAGTACTAGCCCAAAAAACTATTTATACACTATTAATTTTCTTGTATGGAACTTATAGTTTATGCTGTCATATAACTCAAGTTTGAGTCGGTTGTAGGAACTCGTGTAATCTTCATATTTAATGCCTATAATTTATAGGTGGCAAATCAACTCATTTAATTAAATTTATTCATACTCGCTCATGAATAGATAGGTACGGATATATTAAATTTTTGCATATGGGTATCAATGGATTACCCAATTATACCAATTTATTAAATGGGTATTATTGGATAACCCATCAAACCCAATTAACCTATTTAAAATTATCTTTCCTCAAGTCTCCTCTCTTTCCCCACCCATTTTTTTTTTTCAGATTTTTCATTTTGTCATGATGTTAACTACTTTTATTTCATTATTATTATTATTT